AAACTTGGTTTTATTGTTCTTTGATATAAAGTCCTGCTAAATCAACAATAAAATCCAAATCAGAACATCAAGAGTCAATGACAATGAATTCTTAACAGAACTGGTATTGCTTTTATTGTTTGACTGTGAGTCTGTAAGTGACCTAACTTTCAGTAAACACTGCTCATGCTCTGCTTGGGAAGAACAGAAATACAGCCATCTTAGCAAGCAACCGATTGACCAGAGGAAAATAAAACAAACAAGGGTGTGAGGGGATTTATTTGTCAGTGTAGTCCGCTTGTATCGATAGCAGTATCGATAAGCTCTGACCTTTATTGATTCTCGGGTTTTGAGAAATTTGGTACCGGGTCCTTACAGAACCAGGTCTCGATCCCCATCCCTAATTATAACAGAGACGGAGCGTATCACAGTATCCTCTATATACTACATGATGTATGTATCAAATAATACCTCTGATTATGTAAAACAGAACCTTAAATTATCTAACTGCCGTAGAATAAGGCCCCCAGATATTCTTGTAGATATTTTACCTATCTATCAGTTTATAGCACCGTCTTTCAGGAGGAGATTGTAGCCATTTTGTAGTTTTCTACTACTCTACATCCAGTGATAAATGCTGTTCTGCACCATGAGGTCTGGTGGGCATTTAGACCACTTCCCTTTGGTATGTCGCCAATACCAATATGTGCACAGATGTCATCACTGTATTAACGGATAAGATCATCTTTGATGAAACAAGATGCACCATGGGGCATGGTATTTCAGTAATAAATATAAATGGTAAATAGTGTAAACCGTGCCAGGATACAGCTACACAGCTGATACTATTTCCAGAAATCCTTATTTAAGAGTGTATACTTTTATTCTTAATTATTTAAAAGACATGAATTTATCTCCGTCAAATAAATATAAACAATTCAAAATTTCATCCATCCAGCCCAGTAAAAGAATATTTTAATGGTTTTATGCCATAATAAAGCTTATATGAGTTTTGTTTTGAGTTTTATGAGCTTGTGTGTGTTTCCCCTGTCTGCTGTGAAGCTGGATTATAATAAGGGATAACACCATTGGTGTGAGTAATAAATGCCTGCACCGCCGTCTCTGATAATGGTTTCAGACAGAAGGTGTAATGATATCAGTCCATATTTAACCTCCTCTCTCTCAGTGGCACCAAAAGGGGAAAAGGGTCTATCTATCAGATCTAAGAGGAATATCGGCTTCACAGTATTTTGTAGTTTATGAAACAGATAATGAATGAATTCCAGTCACATGTATCAGGAGTGTTTGGTGTATGAGCAGTACAGTAACTCTGGGCTCATCATTCCTTTGTGTTGAGATCCATCTAGTGGTTGTTCAGTGTCATAACAGCAGTTAGTGGTCTGCAGTGTAATTGTCAGCGGCACAGAGAAAAAAGTATAACCTGAAATTGAAGCTGTTAGTTGTTGAATTTTCTGAACAAAGCTCAGGAGAAGCAGAATAATTGGAGAGTATTTCCCATCTGTGCTGAGCAGTGAGTCCCACATGAGGGGTCAGACCTTTTCTGTATTTACAAAAAAAAACTATTGTTAGTTTCTAGCATTAATCATGTAAAAGGACACAGGGTAAAGGATCCACCAGGTCCACTGTGTCTCGCTGATTCATGGTAATCAGCAGAGTGATTAGTGCTGAAAGAGGTGTCACATGACCCGGTGTTAGGGCTTAGAGCGCGGCACAAGGAGGTCCGGTAGCACAGGGTTCAGCCTCACTGGTGCAGTGAGACACCAGTAGCTCTGAACTACCATGGCCGGTAGGAACAGGAAACCAGGTAAGTTCGGTTGTGCTTTTTAGGGAAGCGGTCCATGCAGGCCGCTCAGGAAGGACGTACGGTTGTTTAAACTGCAACGAGTCCTGAACTTCACTGGTAGAAAAGAAGCTTTGCCAGAGTCGCTGGTCAAACATTAGTCCAAATATTCTCCTCGTGTGGAGCTGAAACTTGTTCCTCTGTCTGTAGATAACTCTCTCTCTCTCTCTGTTTGTTTTCAGTTGATGCTGATGAGATTAAGAGGCTAGGAAAGAGATTTAAGAAACTCGACCTAGATAACTCCGGGTCCCTGAGTGTGGAGGAGTTTATGTCCTTACCGGAGCTCCAACAGAATCCCCTCGTGCAGCGAGTCATCGACATATTCGACACCGACGGAAACGGGGAAGTCGACTTTAAAGGTAAATAAATCATCAAACACTGAATGAATTTAAACTTTAACAGGATCTTATTCCCCGTGTGAAAGTTTTAACATCAGTCCTAAAGATGATCATTGTGCTGCCCCTGGAAAGAGCTTTGATCCGTTTTCTTCTTTAAAAGTAGTTTTTACTGCTCATGAAACAGTCTACAGTTTAATACTGATACCCTGACACCAGTGGTTCCCAGCCTTTTCCTTTAGGGACCCTTTATCTATTATAATAATAATAACAACAATAATAATATTAATCTTTATGGTCCACAGTTTGGACATTCGCCTTCACAGGCTGATGAAATCACATTAACACAGTACAGACAGTCACAGATGTTCCAGTGTGAGACTTTGTGTAGCTGTTGCTGGTTGCTGCAGCTGCTCTATAGCGCCTTCCAGAGGACAGTTGTATGAATGCATTGAACTGGATAAACAGGATCAGACTCTCAGTTGTCTTGCTCTTTCCCAATAATCTCACTGGCCGTGTTTGTGCACTAAAAGTTCAAACACCGTCAGTAAGACTTCGATAGACGACCTCTGAAATATTCCTGTTTATATCCAATGAATCCTGATCAGATACAGGCGCTGCTTGTTGCTTGTACTCTGTGTTGGCCTTAAATTACAATCAAAAAGGATTCCTAGATAAGTCTTTTAACTCTTCAGTGACATTTTATAGATAATTCATATTATATATAAACTTCCCAATGAACACAAACAGTGAACTCAGTAACTGCAGGAAGAAAACCAGAGATTTGGATGAATTTTGAGCAGATTATTTCCTGTTTATGGAACTTTTTCTGTATTCTGTATTTTTATCATTTTTAACAACTTACAGACTTAAAAAGCTTCTTTTTGGACAGAATCAGTGTTTTCTTGTCCATTGTTTATTAGACAGTTTACCAACTGAACCAGATGCTGAGATATAGTCCTACTGTTGATATATTTAAAGTTTCCTTACATACCTTAAAATCAGTAAGGCCTCGTGACCCCCCCCATGAATCTTTGGCTACCCCCAGATTGGGAACCACTGCTCCGTATGACCCACATCCATAAACAAGACGATCACAAAGAAGATTTTAACTGATGATGTTGTTTTCTGTTCTTCTGCAGAGTTCATCGAAGGAGTCTCCCAGTTCAGCGTCAAAGGAGACAAAGAGCAGAAGTTGCGCTGTAAGTGTCCAACAGGCCGACGTTCCCTTCCCGTCTCCGGGTTATAGTTATTAAACTCAGAGTTACAGGGTTCATCTGTTTTCACTTTAAATTCATTCAAAATCAGAGATAATATCCAGTAAGATGCTATTTCATAACTGTTAAACCTTTAAATATCCATCAGTTTGAGGGTTTAACAGAGAATAACACACCAACTGTTAGTATCCCACGTTGTTGTATGTTTGTCTAAATGACGGTGTTCAGACAATCATTAATAACATCGACCCTGTCTGCCCCCCCCCCCTCTGACCCTCAGTTGCCTTCAGGATCTACGACATGGACAAAGACGGCTACATATCCAACGGGGAGCTCTTCCAGGTCCTCAAGATGATGGTGGGCAACAACCTGAAGGACACCCAGCTCCAACAGATCGTCGACAAAACCATCATCAACGCAGACAAAGACGGGGACGGCAGGATATCCTTCGAGGAGTTCTGTGCTGTAAGTATCGATGCTTCATCCTATGCTAACCCTAACCCTAACCCTCCCTCCTCCTCCCCTGGGTGCTAACAAGAGCTTCAGACTGAAACACACCTGATTGACTGGCACAACTTTACCTGCAGGAAGGAAGAGTTCAAAACTCCAGAAACATTTGTAGCATAAAGAGCAGATTCAGCCCAGTTAGCATTAATTAGCATAATCAGCTATATGGACAATATTTCAGCAGCTGCTTGGTCGATGTGGACAATATAGGAGTTCTGGTGGTTTTGGGGGTTACTGAAGATGCTGAATCCATTTCTGACAAATTAGCCGTTTAAACCAGAACTACTACTAAATATTTCAGTTCATTTACCACAATTAATCACAATGTTATCAACTCTCAGTCTGGCCGAGGGCCTCACTAACAGCTGCAGTCTGTTGAACAGCATTATAATATAAGTCCTGTAGCTCTGCAGAGACACTCTGACCTGCAAATCTTTTTCTTCAAATGTAAGAAAACATGTTTTATTTGGTAGAAACCTCAAAAAATGTCACATCATCTCGATTTAAATAGTTTTGTTCAGCGAAAATTCAAATTGTGAATAATATCGCAATCGCATTATCAAAATAAAATGAACCATATCGTGCAGCCCTGTTCAACTCCTGGGGGGCTGATTTATACACTGAACACATCACAGCGGTGAAGTCGCAGGTCAACGACAAAATGTCTGAACATTCGCACCAAAGACATTAAACTCTGGTTCCACGCTGCAGGTCCAATGTGTTAATGCATTCAGCTCTCCCGTACCAACCAAACAGTGGCGGAAATATCGTCCAGATAGATGATTAAGATTATTAATGCTAATTATGCTAAATGCATACTGTACATTTCTAACATAAAACATTTCCAGGATCACGTTTAAGTCCACTATACTGCCCCCCAGAGGCCAACCGCAGGAACTACACTGATACTGAAAAATGGTTTTGACTGTATGTAGAACGGCGGTTATGTGCTTATTAAATTTGTATTATCTAAGTAATTTTTATGGCTTAAAATGAATCACCAATTATTTAACCTATGACCCCCAAACTGGATTACATTAACAGATATAAAGGTCGTGCAGAGAGTGCAGCTTTAAAGCTCTGTTCCTCATTCGTCCTCACTCTGACTGTGATTGGTTAAATGTTAAAAACAAGAAACGGTGTGTGTGTGACCTCACTTCCTGTTGTCTTCTCCAGGTCGTCGGTGGATTAGACATTCACAAAAAGATGGTGGTGGACGTCTGACAACTTTGTGTTTTGGCCTCCATTCGCTGAAGATCTGCTTGAAGACGTCGTCCAGCAAAACGCTCTTGTCTGTTTTTCAAACGGAAGTTTTTTCTCTGTGAAAAATCCCCTCCTCACCCCTCCTCCCCTGCTCCCCTGTCCCTCACCC